CCAAACCCTCAAGGCATCGCCCAACCGGAGCGACTTCCGAGACGAGTCCGCCCGAGAGCCGGGGTTGGACAGATTCGTACCAGCCTCGGTAATTTGTTCATGCAGCCCTTAGTACACAGAAAAACCGTGATCCCTGAAACCCTACACCTTAAACCCTAAGGTCGTCCTCATTCTGGATGCTCTCTACTGCTCAGCCGCTTCAAATTGATGTCTCCGTGTAGAGTCGACGTGAACATTAGTTGTGGTACGACTGCGGTCCAAGAGACCTCGTCTGGCCGCCAGAGCCTAAACCATGAGCCCTAAACCTTCAACCCAAGCCCTAAACCCGAAACCCTCAAGCCAAGCCCTAAACCCTAAGCCTTAAAGCATCCTAGCATCCTAAAGCCCGGATCCCTACAGCTCTAAACCAGAACCGTTAGACGCTTGATTTTGGAGCCCGAGCCTTCGGGCCTCGAAACACGACGAGCTCCTCAGCAATCGAGGCCGTTGATGACGATGACGAATATGACGATGAGGCGAGCTTCAGGGGTTTAGGAACTGCTATACTAAGGGGAGGGAGGGGTGGGGGCAGGTGGTCTGGGGTTCAGCGAAGGTGTTGGGCGGGCTAGGTTTTCATTGGAGGGTCTTTGTTGTAACCAGATTTAGGTGGTTGAGTTCCCGTTGCTTGCCTGGCTTGCTGTCTTGCCATTCACATGGCACCTTTTATGCCTATCACTCGAAATGAACAGTATTTTGTAGGACTAGGATGTTTTTCCATGCGCGTTGCGAAGGTTCTGTGGTGTAAATCGACGGAAGAAGACCTTGGTGAGCAAGCTGAGCAGGGCCGTCAGTTTCTGTTGCGGTGCAGGAGTATGACGACGACGGGCCGGGAGGTGATCCGTCCGAGGTCGGCGTGCTGTGCGATGAGGGCTTCATCATACAGGTTTTTGAAGGGCTTGTGTTGAGTTCCAAGCGGACTTTCTGACAAGGAGGCACCCCAATTTAGTTGCGCCCCTTAGGAGGGTCGTTAATATGTTCATGGGCCCGTCGATACGGCTCCCTGGCTGCAAGAAGCCCGAAGCCTGACACGACTTCCTGGTCGCCCCTCCGGGTGTCCCGAAAACCGAAGAAACCCAAAGCCTCGGCCTCTTCAAACCAACGCACTAAACCCCTGAAACTCCTAAGCCCTTGAACCCTAACCTAAACCCTGAAGCCCTTATACACCCTAAACTCGCAACCCTAAATCCCCTAGAGGCCTCGAACTCTACCTATAGTCTCCACTGTAGTAGCTTTTTTTGGTTTGACCAATTTTATATTAAGGATTCTATAAGGTAACCCCAAAAAGGAACTACAATGGAGACTATAGGTAAGCCCTTAAGTCTCAAGCCCGAAGGGAGCCTCGCCTGGCCTGTCCGAGTTGTGCGAGCGTAAATCCGAACGAAACCCGAAACCTCGAAACCCTTAAAGTAAAAGCCAGAAAGTTGGAATATGATTATCCTAAACCCTTTGTAAATTATAAGGTATCCTTCCCTGAAACCATATTCCAACTTTCTGGAGTTCCCTTTAAACCCTGAACCTGAAGCCCTGGCAGGACAGAAGTGAACTCTCCCTTGGCAGACCGAAGTCACAGGAAGCGTCGGCTGAGGTGGGTCACCACTAACTTTTAGGGTTTAGGTCACCGCTGACTTAGTTTAGCAAGCCCTTTCAAATTCGTTAATTGTTCTACGGGGCGTCATGTGTCTTTGAATATGGGGTGGCCGCGACTAGCCTTCCCCTAAACCTGTGCGGGGTGTGCGCCCTATCGGATTGCATGTGGTTGTGTACATGAGTTTTACCCGTAAACGGTGAACCACCCTAAACCCCTCAAGCTTAAACTCTTAATCATTAGAAGGTTAGGCAAGTTTGGGACTTGTGGTTCATTAGGGTGAGAGAGTCCTGCTTCAAGAAAAGTCGCTGGTTTGCATCATAATGGGGCGTCTGATCCTCCTAATCTACCAGCCTGGATTGACAAAGCACCACTGGGACCTAGAGTAGGCCCTTATTCCCTTCTTCTTATAACCCCCTTTAACCCGAAAAGGGCACCCTTTTTATTCCTAGGCTACTCTTGGGTTTAGACCAACCTGAAAGGCAAAGATCACAACTGCAGCCCCTTGCACCAAATCCGAAGGGCGCCCTCGACTCAGGTCCCCCGCGTAAAGGGTTTATGGTTTCGGGTTTTGGGTTTTGGGTTTAGGGTTTAGGTTTTAGGGTTTAGGGTTTAGGGTTCGTCGACCCTGTTATTACAGAGCCCCTATAGGCCCGAAACCAGAAAGTTGGAATATCATTATCGTAACCCCTTTAAGGTAAATTATAGGGGATCCTACCATTTGTCCATATTCCAACATTTTGGAGTTCCCTTTATAGGCCCGAAGCCCTGAGCCCCATGTGATTTCCTTAGATGAGTCCTTCAGAGGCTTGGTTTTGGGGGGGTTTTCAAGGTAAGCTCTTTGTGAAGGCAACGGCCGACCCCTCCCTGGCTCTCGCCGCCGCGGGTGGCGTCGTAGAGACGGAGGCATTGAGGGTTGGAGCCTGGGCCCTAAACCCTAAACCGGTTTAGGGCTTTCTGGCTTTCATGCTATAGAGTGGGGTTTAGGGATTTAGAGTTTGGGGATCGGCTAGACCCGAGCCCAGCGGGAACAAGGGATCGTCGTCAGGGTCGGATGCAGCGGCCTGGGTAGACAGCGACATTATTGATTCCATAGGGATCCTGGTTGCAAGTTTGCTCGAGTAGACTCCCAAGCACGATTGAATTTCTTTGGGTTTGGTACTAGGGCTTTTGGCTTGATATTTGGGGCGACGGGCTGGCTACGACCTCGAGTGTAGACAGTGTGGAATAAAAAGTGATATGTGTCCATGGGATCCGGCAGTATGGTATCGGAGTCAGGTCATATGGGTATGATTCGGTATGATTCCAGCACCATTGTCGCCGTCTGTCCGTCAGTAGGGCACCATTGTCGCCGTCTGGCCGTCAGTAGGTCACTTTTGAACGAGTACCTATCCAACAGAACTCAAGCTTGACCAAGGATGCAGCAACATCGCAGAACACTGGGCTGAACACAAAGCAGCCTCAAGACGGTCCAGCAGTCCAGCATGCCGTTCTGTTGCTTTCTCGCCTCCCCAGGAGGTCCTGGATGTCCCGTGCTCAGATGTCGCAGAAGCGGGCTCCTTTAGGGGCCTAAATAAGTACCTATACTATTTTGGGGATTCCTTATTGTCACTACAGTAATTATAATGGGCACCAAAACCCTATTCAAATTAATAAGGCCTTTATACAGATCCCTTATAGGTCCCTTACTTATAGGAATGCTTATAATGCCCTTTCAAAGGAACCCTATTCTAATGATTAAGGGCCCTATATTACAGCACCTTGACCTGCTGCCCAGAAGCCGGGAGCCTCGTACTGAAAGCTCTACACTGATCCTGCAGGTTTAGGCTTTAGGGGCTTAGGGTTTAGGGTTTAGGATCGCCGGGATGCTCTACTGAAGCAGCTTTCCCCAGGCCCCAACCAACCTTTGAAGCTTCCTTCAACAACTTCTTCGAGTTTTGCAGAGCACCTCAGCCCGAAAACACAGAACCTCGACTAGCATGGGTTTCCATGTTGTCAGGATTTGCTTGATCTCGCAACCCAACAGTGTTGATTTGGCCGCATCGCCAAGAGCCGTAAGTTCCCATCTGGGATTGGCAATTATGGCTCAGCATTTTTTGCCCCTGGGTTGCAGAGGAGACTAACCTAGGTTCCGCTGAATAAGCACTATCCGCACACTGATTGCATGTATCATGGCCCTGAGTAACGACTGGGAGAGCGCACTATAAGCCCTCGCCTGGTGTACTGTAGTGGCCGATCCCCTGTATCAACCAATAGCCCCTGCAAGCACCACTTGTTTTATATACATCGGTCCCAGAGACGTTCAAGAAGGGGTGAAAGATGCCAGGCAGCCCAGTTTCCTATGTAGTGGGTTACTGCTAGTTGAACCCATTATGAACCTGGGCGCTTAGCCCCTTGTAAGGTGTTAGGGGAGAACCATGCGTGCAAATTTGGAGCGCTTACCCTCCAATCTACTATAGGGGCTGGAACAGGTTGCAAGAGTTTGTTTCTTAGGGTTCCGTGTTCTAACTATTGTGTAACAAACCCCAACAAGCTCTATTCTCAGCATTAAGGCCGCTATAATGCTCCCCAAGGGCGGAAATCTCAATCCTTGTTTCTCGGCCTAACAGATGCAGACCAGCTCAAACATCAGAGCCGAGGTGAAAACCTACGCCTGTGCCTGAGGGGCCTTCCTGGGAGTCCATGCTTAAATGCTTTCGATCCAAGGGAAAAACTCCTTGACACAGAGTCGAGCCTTCTGCACCCTCCAACCTCAACTAGGGTACTGTATATCGTAGTAAGTAGAGTAGAGTAGAGTAGAGTATAGTAGAGTACAGTAGAGTACAGTATAGTAGAGTAGAGTGCGGTCCTTATAGTGTAGTATAGTAGAGTACAGTATAGCACAGTACAGTGCTGTCCAGTGCAGGATAGTATAGTATGGCATGGCATGGTAGAGTATAGTATAGTACAGCATAACCATTCTGGTATAGTATAATGCTGTAGTGTTGCAACATAGGATGGTGGTGGCACGGTGAGGCTATGCCGGCAGTGGTTTAGGCATTTGACCCAAACTTCACAGCAGAGTCCATACTCCGCTGCATGGTTCCGGGTTTGTGGATTAGGTATCCTTCGCCTGGTGAGGCTCCTGTAGAATCTTTGCGAACGAAAATGAATTTGGGGTGCTGGCCTTTGGACACCGCGCGCCTGCACCTTGCAGATGTTCCATCCAAGCCCTCTATGAGTGCCGTCTGCGCATGAGATCAATATCGGTTCATGTTGCCAAGGTAAGGCACCGTTTGATTCGATTTGAGTACCAGGTCTCACACTGTGTCATGCCACTGTGTACAATGCACAGACCCAGCACTCGCTAGCCACCTATCTAGTCCGTATCGGGCACATGGCACATGCTTCGTACCGGTTGAGGATGCCAAGACTGCCAAGATGTTCGAAGTTAACCTGGCTTGCGCTCCTGTCGGTTCAGACTGGACTGGGGGCTCTTTGCCCTGACATCTGCACGGCCACCATCGACAACTCTCCCTGGCCGTGCAGGTTTGCGAACAACAGCTGCGTGATTCCGGTCAGCCCCAACGCAGCCCGCGAGAGTGCGGAAGACATCAACGTGGCAGTCACAGGGCCCTACAGTGGAGCACTGGGGGACCTCATGACGATGGTGGAGCCAGCATTGGAGCTTGCGGCTCAAGATATCGAGATGAGCAACTTTCTGCCGGGCTTTCGCCTCCGAGTGCATCTCGTAGATTCCAAGTGCACCAAGCCGGACGCGACCTCTGCGGTGTTCGCATCATGCTCCACAGGAGTCTCAAGAAATGAAACGCTTCTAGTATGTTTGCTAGTAGTTCCTGATGTGGGCGACTAAGTCTCAGCTCCTCAAGCCCCCCCTACGGTCACAGGACCCCCGAAGCACATCATCCTGGGCGACTCGTGCAGCGCTGCGTGCGAGTCCGTCAACGATGCCGCCCGCTTCTTCAACGTCCTGCAGGCTGTCTCGTTCTTAGCAGGGAATGGGGTTCTTTTCAAAAGGTCCTTAAAAGGGATCTATAAGGGTACCCTTAGCAGGGAACGGGGTTCCTTTAACAGGGTCTAGAAGGGATCTATAAGGGTACCATACTATACTTCCTGGTTCTTAGCAGGGAATGGGGGAATGGATCCTATGATCATCCCTTAAGGTCCCTTGTGGTACTCTCTATAACCCATTCCCCCATTCCCTACCAAGCACCAGACAGTATAGTACCCTTATAGTATCCCTTGTAGTAGCCCTTATAGGACCCCTTTAAGGCACTTTTAAAGGGACCCCATTCCCCACTAAGCACCAGACAGCAGGTGGCGCCGGGCTGTGTTTCCACGACGCTCAGTGCCTGGGCTCAAATTGCAGCTGCCTTTTGGGCCTTGTGTTTTCACAAGGCGCTATATACTCACCCGCAAAACTAGCAACACCCCTAGGCCATAAGCTCGCTTATACTGACAGGACCCGACTCAGGTGATGCAAACCGATATCCTTACTTCACTCGCATGGCGCCCTCAACACGGTTCAATGCTGTGGCCATCTATGAATTCATGAAATTCGTTGGTTTTAGGAGAGTCGGCGTGTTATATGGCTACAGAAGCATCAACAACATGATCAAGGACATGTTCCTCGAAATGGTTGAGGCAGATCTTCAGACAGGTGGCTATTCTTGGACCATCCTCCTGACAAGGCAAGTTAGCAATCGTGCAGAGGCAGGCCGTGCTGTGGAGTTCATGAAGATGCGAGATTCTCGGGTCAATTTCATAGCACTGCACCCTGGATGGATTCGGCGTTGTCGGTTTATCAGGTATCCACTGCTGTCTCGTGGTTAGGAAATCCTCTCTGCGCGCACGCTCCTCAACGCATGGTGATAAATTCGCGTCCAAGCACCGAGCTCCAAATCCCTGGCCTGCGAACTGCGAACCTTAAAGAATCTGCGTGTGAGACGCCAGTCAAGGTACGAGGACTTGGGCGCTGTGCTGCTTTGTGAGGCCTTTTCGCACGGCGTCGTCCCGCCAGATGTCAGCTGGATGGTCGCTTCTGGGTGGTGGAACACGAATTACATTACGTTGCTTGCGCAGTTCCTCGACGATTTCATAAACCCGTGCAGAATGCAAAGACTACTCCTTCATGTAGCACATGCCTCAAGTCATAGTGCCAAACTCATAGGATTTTGTGTTCATTAGGAGAGGTACGGAAGCTGTCATGCTCAGACCTACAACTTCACAAGAGGCATAGTTCAGTCTTACAGAAGAACCCCTGGGAGCAGTGTTTGACCTGCAATCCCCTGAATCACGAAACCCTTAACCGCCTTGACGTCCTGAAACCTATCTATATGTACGTAAAGTGATATGTAGTGTATACATATGTAACTATGTGTGTGTGTATATATATGTATATGGAAGCACAAGTTGTCCCCTGTTGAAAGGGCGGGAGTTTATCCGAACTTTGACCGGCTTTGTCGGCACACTTTGAGCTAAGATTTTGTTTATGCCGCCTGAAACCGTAAAGGCTTTTATGTTCCACCAAGGTCTCCTGACTGTCCCTGCAGCAGCCAGGAGCCGGATAACGGCTGTGGGTTGAGGGTCTTGTAGGGGCCTTAATAATTACCTATACTACTTTGGGGTTCCTTATGATAACTATAGTATAATGGGCCCCGCAACCCTCTTCGAATTATTAAGGGCCCTACATCAGGCTATTTGGGTGAGATCTTGGTAGGGTTTGGGCTTGGGGCTTTGGTTGGAGCCCGAGATGTTCCCTCTGACCGCGATCCTTGCTGCAGTTTCCGGTGCAAGTTCCAGCAATCTTTAGCCTTGTTGACTGTTGAAGTTCTCAGTTTGCCTCCGAGGGGCGCCCAACAGGTCCCAAATCTTGATGTCCGACTTACTTAGCATACCAAGAGGTGTGCTCTAATCACAGCTGGCTTCGGACTTCAGCTAAATTTCGAAGGCCTGGACTCTACTATAGGGGCCTAAATAATTACCAATACTATTTTGGGGGGTTCGTTATTATAGTTATCGTATAATGCGCACCAAAACCCTTTTCTAATTACTAAGCCCCCTATACCAGAACATCCTTACAATGGCTCGTGCTGCCAAAGCTCTGGTGGATGCCCCGAAGCCGAACATGCTGCAACCATTGAAGCCTTCCACTCAAAGTGCAAACACAGTCTGGCAACAGTTTTAGCTTGAACCCTCATTCCGAAACAACTGCGATAGTCCTAGCTGCATTGGCTGGGCGTGCCACACCCAAGGCTCCAACCCGAAACCCCGCCCTTGATTTGAGTCGAAATCCTCTTACCCCCACCAACTCGTTAACAAAGAGGGTAAAATACAGAAGGATAAACCCTGAACAGCTTTCCCCCAAACCCTCCCCAAGCCCGAAACCCGAAGAAGTGGGGTGCAGCACTGGGTGTGTGTCACTGAAAAGCGGCCCCAGAGCGAGAGACCTTACCTGCTTGGACAGAGTCGTGAGAGCATACTTACACCCAAAGACCCCAAAACCCTAAACCCCTAAAGAGACCAGTACCGCTGCAGACCTTGCCAGGCTTTGTCCGAGAGTGAGAGTCAAAAACCCCTAAACCCTGCCTGCTCGTGCGCGAGTTGAAACCTTAACCCCTGAACCCAAGGTCTCATGAAGCCGTGCCGAGCGCGTGTGCGAGTCGAAATCCTCAACCCCAAAACCCAAAACCCCATAGATCCCTTAAAGGAGTTCTTATAGTACCCTTTACATGATCCCTTCCCCTAAAACTATGCAGGAGCTACATGAAGTTTCGTTTGGCCTTGTGGCTGCTGACCGAGGGCCGATGCTAAGCACGCAGGACCTCGTGAAGTTCAGCTCTTAGGGTTTACCCATAGGCCCCATAGTAGTTCCGTTTTGGGGTTCATATTTAGAATTCTCCTAGGCAATCCCAAAAAGGAACTAATATGGGGCGTATGGGTAGGGATGTGAGGCATCCATGGAGACCAGATGCAGGGAGACGCGATGTAGAGGTTTAGGATTACCGGGCCGCTGTTTCCGAAACGTGTGGTATTTCTTTGAGGTTCTCACATTGTGGGTAAATGGATTATGTTGCCGTCTGCTTGCGCTGCTACGGCCGTACTACAAATAATCATAATAGTAATAACAGTACTATCAATTAACACTATACAACTTACTACTACTACAACGACGACGACTACGACTACCACTACTGCTACCGGTACTGCTACCACGACCACGATCACGACCACGACCACCCACCACCACCACCACCGCCGCCACCACCACCACCACCACCACCACCACCACCACCACGACCACCACGACCACTACTACTACTACTACTACTACTACTACTACTACTACTACTACTACTACTACTACTACTACTGTACTAGTACCCGTACGAGTACGAGTACTACATAGTACTAGTCCTAGTGCGAGTGTGAGTGCGAGTGCGAGTACGATTGCGAGCACGAGTACGACTACGACGACGACGACTACTACTACCGCCACCGGCCACCCCTACTCCGACCCCTACTCGTACTCCTACTACTACTCCTCCTCCTCCTCTTGCGGCTGCGACACTACAAGGACCAACAACACGGATGCGAACCCCCTTTTCATTCGAATACTGACAGTATGGCGACGACTACTTCTGTCAATGCAGCTCGTCGTGTTCTGCTTCGCACCACCACCACCACCACCATCACAATCATAGCTGGAGCGAGACCACCGATGACCGGGGCAGGTAGTCGTGGAAACACAGAAATAGAGGGCTCGAGAGGCAGAGTGACGGTGGACCGGACGAGATTGGTGTTTTTCTGGCACCAAAACGATTCAGAAGGGCGAGCACTTTCTTTCACGTTGACAGGAGTTCCCCTAGGCATCTCCCGGCGTGTGACTCGGGAAATGAGCTTTCGTCATTTTTGGGCAAGTGTTTTGCTGTTGGCTTAAAGCATGCTGAAGCAATAAACGCAGGACAAGCATGGCTTGTCTGGGCGAGAGCTCTCGGACATCCACGACAGGTACACTGCAGGTTGTCGGCTATTTGCCAACGGCAATGGCGCATGCAATCATCAGTGGGCCGGCTACTTTTATGACGGCCTTTGGCTCGTAGCTTCTATTTTGCACGCCTACTTGGTGGATGGGAATCGATCCATTAGCGACTTGGGTACAAACTACTCCAGGGAGGCTTTGTACAACCTTTCTTTGCATCAGGATTTCATGGGTTTGACCGGCAGGGTCCGGCAATTCAATGGCATCGAGCCCACGACAGATCCTGCATCCTACGGAGACAGGGAAGGTATCATCCTTCTGCGCCAGGTGACAGGCCCGGTTGAGGATGCATTTACCGTCCTTGCGCATCGCTCGGCTGCTGGATTCCATTTCCTCAATGATGTCCTTTGGAGTCAGCAAGATCTCAGCCATAGCATCCCGTGTGCTGCGGGATCCTGTGACCTCACAGCAGGTTGGGTGCCGGCCGATCAGGACAGCCGTTGCGCAGGCGGGAAGGTTTGGAGCAACGAGCTCGGATGTGTAGGTTGCCCTGCTGGAAGTTACAGCACTGCATCGCAAGCAAGCTGCTTCCCTTGCCCTCGTGGCAGCTACAGCAATTCCAGTGGAACGGCCAGCTGCGAGCCATGTCATCCGGGCAGCTCTGGCATCATAGAGGGGCTCGTGCATTGCGTGGACTGTCCTCTCGGATACTTCATGAATGACAGTGGTGCCGAAGAGTGCAGGAAATGTCCTCGCAACTCATATGCCGACAGCCGCGGGCTGTCGCTGTGTAAGCCATGCCCTGAAGGGAAAAGTATCGAGTTCGAAGGAGCGACAGAGCTGTCGATGTGCACTTGCAAAGGGTGGCTTTGGTTAGGGCAATGTGTCTTGTGCCCATATGCCACGCGATTCGAAGAGGGGTCTTGTATCCAGTGTGCCATGGACGAGATCTGTGAAGATGGTCGAGTTGTAGGACATTTGCCTTCAAAGTGGGAGTGGGCACAGAGCATAGAGCATGCTGGGCATCTGCCCCAGCTGTCACAAAGTTTGGCGAAGCAGCTCTTGCTGGTGGTTGCGGACGTGAGATCCGAGGAGAACCAACTTTCCCTGACACAGGACATGGCAAGCTTTGATTGGATCATGCAGGTGAGGAATCTTGCGAATCTGTTTGCCAACTTCTTGACCCCTTGTAACCGATCATTTTGTTGTCTAGGGGGATTCCGACCATGGCAGGCCCTCATCTCGGGCAACAACACGCTGGGAATCGTCGCCGCCCCGAATGAGGACGTAGCTGATGCGCTATCGCTGTTCCTCGGCTCATGTTGCAGCAGCATGTGTTCCTGCATGCAAACTTTTGAGCATTTGCTGCTGCAATGCTGCAAGAGCGCCGCAAAGACAAAACACGGCACAGACATAGACACAGCCATCGATGACGTCGACCCCAGAAGAAGCGGCAATTGAGTGAACAGAGCGGCAACAGGCAAGAAGTTTGGAGAAACAGCAGCAAGCAAGTATAATGATACTGATACTGCTACTTCTGTCACTGACAACGGTGACGGCAAGAACAAGCACAGCTGCAGAAGAAGCAGCCGCTTGCTGCTGGCAGTGCTACTACGGCGGCGACGACATCGCCGTCGACGACGGAGACGACAACATCGTGGTCATAGTCGTCGTCGAACTCATCATAAGCAAGGGTCTTCATCATAATTCGTTTTGCTCCGTCTCAATCGGTTTGCTTCAGACAGCAACATCTTATAGAAGCTTACAGGCGGCAGTCTGAAGAAGCCCACACGAACCCTGATGCATCCTGACCCTCGGCACAAGGACTGCCGCCTTGTGGGCGAGCTTCAGTGGCCTGTTGGGCAGAAATCCAACCAGCGCGGTCTTGCACGAGGTGTTTGATCAGTGCCTCAGCTACTTTCGGAGGGTTTTGGGCTTGGGGCTGCAGGAGTCGAGGTCACAAGCATATAGGGTTGACGAAATGGGACCATGTGTAAGATGTCGTGATGTATGCGTGCACCCCGCTTACCCAGGAACATACTGCTGCTTGATGCTTCGCAGAATGTCCTCCATGCTTTGCTCGAAGCTGCAAGGGCCGCAGGCTATTCAGGAAGCCTCGTGGCAGAAATCGCTGAGTCTCAGATGATGCTTGTCGAAAAAATCTGCAAGGAGAGCTTGTTTGTCGCAGCAGACATTCGGGTGGGCAGGGCTCTGCAGAGACTTGCGGAGGCCAAGGAGCATTATGAGGCAGCCCATGAGGCTCTGGTGTTGGGAGTGGAGGCCGCAAACATCCCGAGGCTGACGAGCATGTGCACCATGCATAAGATGCGGGATGTGACCTACTACGCCAAGGAGGTGCATCGACGGGTCCGAGCGATCTTGAACGCCCGCAACCGGGAGGAGACTGTTCTTCTGGCACAGGGGTTCCGAAACGACATGTCTGTGGTCGTGGACCCGCTCTCCCAGGCCATGTCGTCGGCCGTGCACCTCTTCGTGTTGGATGAGGGCACCTGCAACCCGCTGGCAACAACCTCGCAGGAGCAACGAACCCGAAACCATAAACCTCCAAAACCCCTAAAGGCAACAACCTCGCAGGAGCAATGGATGCATTTGGCGCGCGGACTTGCCGAACAGCGAGTGGCGAGTCAAGGTGTCTTCCGCTACTTCATGCAGGTTCCTGGACCCCAAATAACCTACCTTTGTGGTGCTCCTTTTTTTACGTATGATTTCTTGATATATATATATATATATATATATATATATATATATATATTTATGTATATATATATGTATATATACATATACATATATTTGTAAGCCCTTAAAGAGTTTCGGTTGTTTGGGGTCTAGGTTGGCCCTCAGATCTAGCCCCCTCGACCCCAACCCGGCGCGATATGGTACGGCACAAAGCATCCTATCCAGAGGAGCAGAATTGGGGACTTCAAAAGGACATAAGCACAAGCATTTTACGGGATATCCCCACCTTATTGGGCTTCATTAAAGGGGGTTTGTGCAGGATATCCCTATCCCAGTTTTTGCTTATGTGCTTTGTTGGTAAACCCCGAGCACACAGGTGGTCCATGGAATCGACGTGGCTTCCAGCAAGGTCGACCTGGCGGTGCAGCTCGCGAAGAACAACAACCAACTGCTTGGACTGGTTCAAGGGAGCAGGGAGGAAGACATTCCTGCTCCTCCCACGCAGGAGTTGCTGTCCCAGCTTGTGAAACTGCATATTGCCTGGCAACATATGAACAAGGTGCTGTCAGATGCCGTGCATCAGGATGAGATTGCCGAAGTTGACATCACAGAGGTCGAAGTCTACAACCAGGAGTTCTTGATGGATACAGACCTTGTCATGGAGCTGTTAGCTGCGGTACACCACTGCCCAACCCTCGGCATCCTAAACGTCACCAACTATCAGGCCGTAGCCTTCGACAGGCTCTTTACTCAGACCGCTCTCATCAGCTATGGCCATGCGGGCGAGAACTTGGAGGAGCTGAATCACACCCGCTCGGCCTTCCATGCGGGCTACGAGAATTTGCTACAAGGAGCGACTGCCCAGGAGGCCGGTGCCGATTTGCGGCCAGTGGAGGATGTGTGCGTCGTGAGGGCCATGGCTTCAGTCGCCCGCTTTTTTCACCTTTTGGAGCAGGAATTCCTGGCGGTCCTTGCTGGAGCTGGCTCTGACGGCCTTCGGAGGATGATGGCGCTAAGCACAGAAGGCATTTCCCACATGGCATCAGCCTCAGACCTCTTCTTGAAGTCCCTTGGTAGCTGAGTAGGTAACCTTTAGTGGGGTTTATATAATCCTACTATAATTGAATAGGTTAACTTTTTTGGGGGGCTAGGGTACTCAGCCCCTAGGTACTACGCGAACCAGTCCAGCGTGACTTGCCAAGACGCGCTTCTCTCCACCACAGAATGGCTGCAGCTGATCGAGCACATCTCCTTGCTGGCGGGATTGGGGGAAGATGCTTCTTCCGCTTACATGTTGACGGATGGCAGCAAAAGCAGCAACCAGGAAGCTGTGGATTCAAAGATGCAGGAGATGGCAAGTGCACTGCGTGATATGAAGTTTGGTGCTGCAGACCCTCCCCTGCCACCACCGCCAACCCAAGCTTTGTTCGACAAGAGCGCCAACGGTATTCACAATGCGCTAGAGTCTTTCAGGATGGCTTTAGTGGGCGCTGACCGCGCTGCAGTTCTTACTTCATGTGATGACTTCTTGTCGGAAGTGCACCAGATGGAAGACGACTATGTTCAAGCAGCACAGGCCACACACCCAAGGTGGCCAGGGGCTCGTGTTCGCGTGGCCAGCTGGCAGACAGTGCTTGCCAAGAAAATCTTCAAGGAGTCCTTGCTTTCGACAAACCTCAGGAGGCCAGGTGTCTTGGCTGCCACGATCACAGAGTTCGACACAGCCCACCAGCGATTGCGGCATGGTGACAGTGGTGGTGGAGGTCTTTCAGGCATTAGCAATGAGCGGCAGGACCTCTACCGGCAGTGGCAGAAAGTCGATGATTTGTGGTCCGACCTGAAGCAGCATGTTACTGGCCAGACTAGCAGCACAGAAATATTGAGAGCCACACTGCAACAGCTGGAGCAGGAGTTGCACATCCTGGTGTCACTTTGTGGTGTGGTGGATCCCCCGGCAACAGAGAAAGGCACAGGCCTAGTTGTGGCTATTTTTGCGGTGGTAAGCAGCATCCTGGCATTTTGTGCTTGTTGTGGCCCGCTCTTAGAGTACAGCCGCCAAAGGCGAGCAAGGAGGAAGCAACAAGAACATGCCCATGCCAAAGTAGGAATTCAATCTGGCTTTCCGGCCTCTCAGGACAAGCCACGAAATGATATCACCGGCATTGTCTAGCCTATAGTCATCTCATCGCAGGGAAAACATCACGCGAGACGCCAGAAAACTGGCCGGTCTTCGCAAATCTTCGAATTTTGCCAAGGTTTGGAGATCCCGGTGTTTCGGTGCTCCAAGTGACCGCACTGCAGCATGTTCTGAAGACTCCATTCGGAAACGGCCCTAGAGATGGACCATAGGTGACGATGGAGTGAGTCCAGCCCGAGAAACAACATCCTAAACTTTAAATGCCTTCTCTGTGAAAGGGTCTTTCCGGAACAGGGTGAGCGCAGAATCTTAATCTCAATTCCTGGCTTGGATGTCACTTTGTGAGAAAGTTCTGGCTTCAGACAGCAAGTTGGGTTTGGGCCTGAGGTAAGTACCGCCTAAAAAAAATCCGCATGGTTTCCCAGTACTAGGTCGGGGCAGCTTTCCGTCTCGTGCAATGCGGTCCTTGCAACAGCTGTTCAAGCTCCTAGGCGTGGCGTTTTTTTTCGGGCTTTGGCTGTGCTGGCTGCTTGAACTGGCTCCAGGCTTTAGCTTTAGATCATGCTTTCTGTGACGTTAAGGGTTTAACCTGTGGAGGCACTATGTACTTGTCCTAAACCGACGCCCGCTTGTTGCTAGAACGCTTTGCTTCGTGCAGCTGCATGAGCCCAGTGGGGTGCATAAGGGTTTAGGGTTTATAGGGTTTACAGGGTTTGGGGCTTATGGTCTCAGGCAGGTGCTGTTTGGCTCCAAGTGCCGGTTCCCTGCTGAGAAATTCCGGCCAAGCAACGTTTCCGCAGCACGTTTCATAATTAGGTGCCAATTCGCAGCGGCCTACATGCCACTTGTTTGAAGCCGCATATGTCAAGGGAGTTTGGGATTGTTTTGTGCCAGGCATCCCATGTTTCAGTCTATACACAAGCCCCCAAAGCCATCCCGTCTCTCGTGGCATATGCTTTCGGGACACCGTCTTACAAAAGAGGTCCCGTGCACATCCCGGGCGGATTCTGTGTCCAGGCGGCCAGAACTGCCCCAAAAAAGCTAAGAGGACATGCTGGAGTTGTCCTTGTCAGATTTCTGTTTGCTACCAGAACAGGTTGTTGACCCAATGAGCTTGGATAGTTCAACTCTTGGTAGAAACTTCGTGAACAGCGAAACTGCTTCGAGGTTCGCGCAGGATCACTCTGGAATGCAATCTGCTTCTTGTCTGTCGTCAATGGTGGAGGCTATGCCGAAGGTGCATCTCTCTTGCTTCCTCCTCGTGGAGTCGAAGTGGCCCCACTTGGCGCGAAGTGGCAGGAACTTTTTACGGTCAAAATCACACAGAAGCTGGGAAAGGCTTTGTACTTTACGTATCGAAGCTAGCGCAGGTCCTAATAGGGTTTGCGATGGTTTGCCCAACCCACCAGAACTTTTGTTGGTCAGCTGCCTTTTCGGTTTCCCTGCAAAAAAGTAGATAGTGGCAGGTAACAGTTGTGCTGTAATGCTGAAGGCTTTGTAACTGCGCGCACCCTTGGAGCAAATTCCAAAAATAGTACCCCAGACTTTCACATTTTCGGGGGCTGTACTTAGCGACTCTTCAGGCCTTTTAAGTTATAAGCTAATTCTGCGCGGTGTTCTTTCGTGTCTGAACTTAGCATAACTTAGCGTTAGGACATCTAGAATGATTTGATTACAAGAGGTGCCTGGAAGCAGGCACTGCGTCTAAAGAGGGTTGGCTGGAGGAAGCTACGGAAGGGTTTAAAGGGAACTCCAGAAAGTTGGAGTATGGTTTCATGGTAGGATACCCTATAATTCACCTTAAAGGGGTTACGATAATGATATTCCAACTTTCTGGCTTCTACTATAGGGTCCCTGGGTGCGGCTGAACGCTAAGGTGAGCCCTAAACCCCAAACCGTACAGTCGCTTATCGTGGGACTTGTGATTTTAGGGGTTTCAAGGGCTTCTGCCAAGAGGCTATGGGGCCCAAAGAGCGTCGGAGGTCCAGTAGATGCTTGCTTCTGTAGATGCTTGCGGCTTAGGGCTTAGGGTTTACATAGCTCAGAAGAAAAACGAAGTTACTTATATAGTCTCTTTGTCTCAGTCTTCGTTTCATTTTTTCATGACCGCCGAAGTTCTGTGTACAGTCTGCTGTGCATGTGCCCGAACTCCGGTCCATGAAACCGTCATCCCCCGACTTGTTTTGCTACGACTTCCTTTGATTGTGCTGTCTCTCATTCCCTCGCGTCGCCCCGTCCTGAGTTTGGCGACTCTCACGTCCAATTGTCTAGACTCTAGGCCTGATGCTGCCCTCTGAAAGATTAGTCGTAATTTCCCCTTGTTGTTCCTACGGTTGATGATTTGACTACTTCATTACCCATAATAAGGATATAGCATAATTCCCATAGTTCAGGGTCCGTAAGGTGATGCAGGGTTAAAATCATCAACAGTATAGCTCAATACCCCATTCAGGCCCCTTGACTCATTCAGCTGCCCCAGAGCAGCACGCGAACATACAGGCATCCTACGTTGAAGGTCCGAAGGCCTCGGATCATTGAATCGGTCAAATCAAATCCATTCCTGCCACTTTGTGCTTCTCGGACCCCTTCCTTTATAAGTAGGGCTATAAGTACCCTAAAAGGAGTTACCCCGATTACAACCCTTCTTATAATCTTCTTTAAATCCTGAGCCCATCCGAGCCTTTTCTCTCAAACTAAATGCGCCGAGGTGCAACGCTTGAGCGAAAGAGCAGCGCAGCAGCTGCAGGCTCCATGCGTAATACGGGGTTTAGGGAAGTAGGGTTTAGGGAATTAGGGTTTAAAGCTTGGATGCAAAAAGAGTGAAGTGCCGGAATGGGTAGTATTACTAACTTTGGCTTCAGTATTTGTGAATGCTCTGATTTACCCCGAAGCTCTGTTCTGTTTCTGAAGGCCACCAAGTTACGTGATGTGAGCGCTTGGCTTCGCGAACTTAGGTGTCCAGGGGACAACCCTGCGACCTACACCCTAACCTGTTAGGGGCTGCAGTCCCTGCAGAAACCCGCAGGTCATCCTCTCAGAATAAGCTAACATGATATCTGGGCAATTCTTGGCATCAATTCGAGATGGACTGCCTTTACGAGGTTGTTAACTTCCGTTCTGTTTGTTAGAAACTGGCTCGTGCTCTTTTATTTCCATCTTATTCAAACTCGTGTTCTTTTCGCTGGGTTCTGTTGCATGCATCGTAGAAGCTGGCAACCGCCTGTTCATGTGTAGCTGTGGAGCTCTATGTACACACAAGGCATATGAACTGTTTCTTACAGGACTGTAGTCATTATTGCGGATGAGCATTAGCTTCGCACGGGTGTGTCGTGCGAGATAATGCTGTTCCGTGTCGTCATGGTCCCTTCTGGTATTGACATCATGTAAATTTGGTGGTATACCCGCTTTGGTGCTTATCAGGTGTTGCGGCCGCAAGTTAAAACAGATTGAAAACGTGCTCCTACATTGCTGGCATGTTTTGCTTCAACAAGTGTATCACAAGTACCTGCGTCCGAGCTGCCCAGGTCGCTCGCCAGACAGGCCCCACCGCGGAACCCGCCGAGGAGGCGCCACTTCTGTCAGCGCTCTCGGCTTTGGACTCGAAACTTTCGACACTTAGAAGGTTGCATTTGTCTCGTGTTTGTTGGCACGCTGGCCCCTACTTGCCAATATAACAATCCGGAACATGAGTCGCCCGAGCTAAATCCCGCAACAGGCATCACTCGGCACTAAAGTTGTCGGTGGACAGAGCGGCGAATGCTTCCGTTTGTGTCTTCGAGCATGGGTTCCCTTAAGAAGAGATCGGGCCTTTGAAAGGCTGTCCCGACCCTCGAAGGAGCCGTCCACGACGCCAGATCCAAGCAGTAAACAATACTGTCGAGCCCTTCACAGAACATATGGTATTCGTTTCAGCGTTCGGATTGCGAGTTTGGGGCCTTCTTGAACCTCAAGCCCAAAACATTCCCATATTACGGAATAAGTCGAATAACCCGGTGTGGTTGATTTGGTGATTTCAGGTTTTTAGACCGCACTCGCGAGGTGGACGAAATTGCGGCAGGGATCCCAAGTGGAAGGGCGTGGAGAGAAGAGCTTGAACTTTCGAGCGAGCATAGTCGCGGTTTGAGTTTGTTTAAGGTGTCAGGAGTTTGGGGATGTTTGATCTGGGGTGTAGACATTGTAGACTTGCGCATTCGACCTTTGGGTATGCTGTGTTCAACACGTGCGGGAGCCTTAAACAGACCCGATGAGTTTCTGGGCGTAGGGTGTATGGCGTTTTCCAAACCCATTAGCTATCACAAGGTCCTTGACATGAAACCCCAACCCCGAGCCCTAAACCAACAGTGTTTCATTGGCGCCCGCCTCAAAGTAATGGTTGGCCATCGCCTGAATAGCCTCGCCCACAGAGAGTCCGAGTTGTGAGAGTCCAAGCCCAAGTAAGTGGAGTTCGGAATCGACATCGCCCCCCGAACACACGAAGTATGGTTTGGGTGGATTCTCTTCCGTCTTCTAGAATCAACTTTTGTCATGAAGGGTTGTTTGGGGTACTGTAGTAACAGGCTGGCACTGGGAGGCTGCAGCACTTCCGGGATATGTTGTAGAGCATCCGTACGGGCTTACCGGTACAGCTGTTAGTACGTCACAGCTCCTGTTGCAGATCCCTTGCAGTGCCCGTCGCAGCTCCGTTACAGCTCCCGTTGCAGTTGCGTTGTAGCTCCGGTACTTGTCCGCTGCAGTTCTGCTACAGCTCTCCTTGCAGCTCCAGTCGGCATGCTACGGCTCCACGTGCCAGTACGGCTCCGTTACAGCTCTCGTTATGCGCACTGCAGGCCTCCCTCTATGTTAAAGGCCGAGACCGTAGTGCTCGTAGTAGAGGCTCCCGAGAACACCCCCAAAGATAACCTAATTACACAGAGATCTGCGAATCAACGACACCCGTACCAGTGTCCCGGCCTTGCAGTCGCTGCACAACTGTACTGATGTCCTGCATACTGTATGCCCAAAGCCTTAACTGCTCTACTTACTCAGGCTCCTAC